GGCGTCGACGATATCCAACGGGACTGGACGCGGATATTTAACGTCCTCGTTGCGCGATTATCGAGCGACGATACACGTGTGTGCACACACACACACGTGTATATACGCGTATTTACACATGCACACGCACAACACACGTGGATATTACTCCGTTTAATTCCGTGTACTTTTTTTTTTTTTTACTCCTCCATATTTCCTCTCGTGTGTGTGTGACTTTTTTTTTCACCCTCCTCTGTTCCTGCTTCTTTTTTTTTCTTTCTCTTTTTTGTGTTTTTTTTTATTTTTTTTGTTTTTTTTTTTTTTTAGACGCGGTTTAATGAGGTCTCAGTGTAACGATTTTATTGTTGCAATTGTAGTTACAGTAATCGTAATCGTAGTCGTGGCTGTACGGCAGCAACAGGGACGTGGACTCGTGGGGGGCCGGGCAGGGAAGATGCCTGGGTCAGGCGAGCTCGTTGCTGTCCGGAAAGTGGTCGCGGCAGTCGAGACAGGCGGCCAGGTCGAGCACGAGGCTATGAAGGGCTGGATGCTCGAGGACCTCGGCGTCCGGCAATGGTGGATGGCAACGGGGCCTCTGCTGTCGACCCCTGAACGACCGGTGGAGATTCAACACCACGTCGCAGAACACGTACCTCACCAGCAACAGTCGTAGGAAATCGTCGCCGAAGAATTGCAACACGCTGGTCTCTATTGTTGCGGACCGGTAAAACACGCACACGGGTCAGCTTTCATATGATTACATGTCTTTAGTCGAGGGGTTTTTTTTTATTTTTATTTTTTTTTCTGATTTTTCTTTTTTTTTTTTTTTGATACACCGTGCACGGTTTGTTGGGAACGTGATCTTATTTTTCTGCGATCGAGCGTTGCTTCTGCGAGCGTACAGTTGGTGATTTGCGATTTTTCTTTGGTCGGGGTACAGTAGGGTGGGATATTTCAATGAAAAAGTGTTAGACAGAGTTTGAGCTTTTAACCGGGTAGCCTGATTTGGCAAAAAGTGCCACGTTTAATGAATCATGACGTTTCCTTCTTTTCGTACGTTGAAGAGACGAACGACGTATCAGGTTAAACCCTCGAGCAGCCGACTGTGAGGAATGCGAGATTTGAGCGGCGAAGTGGTGGCCTGGTGTTCGTCACCCGGGGTCGCCGGAAGAGAAAGCGCGCGGATACTCGAGGGTGCCGTAAATTAAGCCACGCAGGATAGGACGCGGGAGAGGGCAGTTTTCGTTATAACCGTCGAACGAGACGGACACCCGAGCCATCTTAGTAGCGTTACAGTAGCGATACTGTCTTTCCCTGAATGCCACTGCTAGAACAAGCACCCTCTACAGCCAGCGCGAAATAAATCGGCCGCTCAAGGTCACCGTAGACCGAGAGTCACCCCCACCATTCGATTTAACTATTGGTTGTAACTTCCACGTTGTTATTCGAAAGTTGAAAAAAGCATAGGTGACTCTAGTTCGAAAACAGAGAATCTATGAACATATGTATTCCTCCAACTGTATGTTTCACAGAGAACCAACGAATCAGCGTATAGCGATTCCCAACAAGCCGTACACTTGATCGATTTCTCTCGGTTTCAGAATTTTGACATTGGAGCAAATTTGATGGACGTTCGCGATCGTGGACGTCGATTTACAGATCTCTCCTTACGTGACTCGACAGTTTCTGCTCTCGAGAAATTATCTCGAAACTCTCGATCGACGAGAGATAGATAGGTAGAGAGAGAGGGAGGGAGGGAGAGAGAGGGGGAGAGAAAGAGAGAGAGAGTAAGAGGGGAGAGTGAGAGAGAGAGGAGAGAGAGAGAGAGAGAGTGAGAGAGTGAGAGTGAGAGGTGTCTAGCAGCCAATAAACTTTCGCGATTTTTCGGGAACCGAGTTTATCTCGACCCCGATTGCGAGAAGAAGGGTTAAGAAATTTCTCGCGCGGGATTACATAAGCGTTGATAACCCTTGTTCCAGATAGCAAAGCTGCCCCCGAGAATCTCGACTATTTCCGATTTCTCGAACGAGCACAATATCACATTCACGTCCACGATCGAGAACGTCGATCCACGTTGCTTCCCGACATTCTTCAGATACAGAGAGGATGAACGATATTGGCCGACAAATTTGCATATTACTGTTGCTGCTGTTCTGTTGCCTGTGCTATACGAGAAAACCTGTTGTTGTCGTCGTCGTTCTTGTTGTAGGTACGAAGTTTCGTGAACGAATTATCCGTGGGTTTCAGAGTGACATGTATGTATATACACGGTGTCCGGTTTTTTACTCTGCTCTTCTTAGAGGAGACGATCAGAGAGGTGAAATCCACGAAAACATTTTCTTCTCTGTTTCACCTGCCTAATCACCACCTTTGAGGAATGCACCGTTAGATAACCGGACACCTTGCATACAGGGTGTCTCACATATAACGAACGTCTAAATTGTTTCCTCTGCTGTTGAAGGTCGAAGGTCAAGTAAAGTTCCTCGAGATCTTGAAAAGTCATTCCAAGGTCGTCTACAGTTTTCACTGTCTAAGATTACTACGAAATACGATCGTTGTGTAAAATAGACGTTAATATGCACAGAAACTGGCCACGATCTTGGATTAACTTTCAGATTGGACTTTCTTACTTCTCCACAGCGGTGTAAATAATCCGAACGTTCGTTGCAAGTGAGACACCCGGTGGATAGAGAAAGAGAGATGGTAGGCTGGCTGGTTTTGGACCGATCGATTTCGGTGAAACTTTCTGAGGGTTGGAGTGAATTAAACGTATCCGCACAAAGCTTTACTTAACGACGGGACTATGATAGAGGAAGAGAGAGAGAGAGAGAGAGAGAGAGAGAGACTGCGACAAAGGAAGCCACTCGTACGTTCAAAACTCGCACACGACATATCGCTGTCGCGGGAGGAACAATGGAGAGCCCCTTTGTAGCGGACCCTAGATCACGCGTCTAGGAGGCGAGATTGCCGGTTCAGCGATAAACACGGCCTGGATCTAGGCCAGCTCTGTTTATCGTTCGAACGCAATCGTAAATCCCTTTCAGCGCGTCCTGGCTGCCGGTGAACGAACCGAGACCCATTCTGTCTCGACTTGGCTCGAGAGAATTCTTCGCGGATTTCTTGCTGACGAAGAAAACATGTCTGTTCTGTTTTTTCTTTGTTTTTTCTTTTTTTTTTTCTATATTATACACTTCTTTTTTTCTTTTTCGGCGAGAAGTTGGAAATGTTTATTGCTCGGCACAGTTTGAACGGAAGATAAGAAATCAACGAAAGAGAGAGTCTATGTTTTCGATTTCGTGCCAGGAAGAGAGAGAGAGAGAGAGAACAAGTTTTTTTTTTCAGCAGAATTTTGTTTTACATCAATTGCGAGACTTGATTTGTTAACGATCGATCCTCGTGGCGGGGAGTGAAAATTTTGCAACGCAGAATTTCCTTTGTCTTTCGTGGCCCCTCGGCGTCGCAAGGTCCCAGCGAGCATCGATCCCCGTCCCTTATGAGAAAAAAAGAAGAAAAAAAAATGGATAATAATGAAACAAATTCAACCGCGTGTGAGTAACACGATCTTCGAATATAACCTTCGCAATATTCTACCGCTTTAACTTTACAAAAAGAAAAAAGACACCATCTTCGTTCTTTAAAAACTCGTTCTAATAGAAGAAAAAAAGAAAACAAGCTTCCAAAGGAATAACCACTTCCAACCCCCGGAATCTCTAAGAATATACACCGATAAAGCTAATTCA